GACACTGACTGCTATTCAATCTATAACAGTAAAAAAAGTTTTTTGTTTTTAAATCCAAGCTATTGTGACACAGGATCTAATCAGTGGCACTTGTCAGCGTATCCACTGTTAGCGTAACACACCCGCTTTAAGGACACTGACTGCTATTCAATCTATAACAGTAAAAAAGTTTTTTGTTTTTAAATCCAAGCTATTGTGACACAGGATCTAATTAGTGGCACTTGTCAGCGTATCCACTGTTAGCGTAACACACCCGCTTTAAGGACACTGACTGCTATTCAATCTACAGTGAAAAAAAGTTTTTTGTTTTTAAATCCAAGCTATTGTGACACCAGATGTAAGTGGTGGCACTGACTGGGGAAATGGGCACAGTATGCACTGTGAGCCTGACACAGAAGCTAGCAGCAGTGGCAGACAACTGACTGCTATTCAATCTATAACAGTGAAAAAAGTTTTTTGTTTTTAAATCCAAGCTATTGTGACACCAGATGTAATTGGTGGCACTGACTGGGGAAATGGGCACTGTGAGCCTGACACAGAAGCTGGCAGCAGTGGCAGACAACTAAGTGCATTTACATTACATAGAAAAAAATAAATTAAAAAAAAGCATACCCTTATCCCTAACCTAGCTATGCTTTTCCCTATCTTATGAACAGCAGCTACACTTTCCCTCCTCTTACTAAGCATGCAGCTTGAGAATGAATCTAAAATGGATGCTGTCCAGTAGGTGGGAGGGTCTGCTAGGGAGGCTGTGCTGCTAATTGGCTGGAATGTGTCTGCTGACTGTGAGGTACAGGGTCAAAGTTTACTCAATGATGATGAATAGGGGGCGGGTCGAACCGCGCATATGTTCGCCCGCCGTGGCGAACGCGAACATGCTATGTTCGCCTGGAACCGTTCGCCAGCGAACCGTTCGGTACATCACTAATTGTGTGTATACTTAATAAATGTGTGTTAGTGAGAGTGTGTGACATTGTGTGCATACTTCAGTAAGAGTGTTTGTTAGTGAGAGTGTGTAAGTGACATTGTGTGCTTACTGAAGAGTGTGTTACAGATTATAATGAAAAAAATGTTTTCCTTACAGGTTCACTGTACATTAATTAAATTAAACACATTATCCAAAAAATAAATCCTACAATATTATAAATAAAATCCCACCAAATGAATGAAAACATTATTATCACAGGTATAAATTATATATTCAATGAAAAATGTATGTATTACAGACATCCCAACATGCAAAAATGCATTTCAGGGAGGTGACTTTACAAGCTACTGCGCCACCCCCTCCACCCACGTGTGCGCTCACTCCCCCCCCCCCTCCACCAACACACACAGACACACAGATACACGTGCTGGCACATACACACTGACACACAGATACACACATTGAAACGCACTCTGGCACATACACTCAGATACACACATACATACACTGGCACTCAGATACACACACTGAAACACACACACAGATACATATACTGGCACATACACTTAGAAACACACACATTTTGACATGTACACAAGTCATACTTTATACATTTGCAGCCACCTTCCTGCTAGCTTACCTTTGTGTCCAGGAGGGTGGCTTGCTGAGAGTTATGTTGCTGGCTGAGGCTGATGGGAGTGAGCATGCAGCAGCAGCTCACTCGAGCCCTTTCCTCTGCCTCCATGCTGCTGCCTCCTCCCAGGCGCCGGCAGCTCTCTGTGAAACAGGGAGGAAGTGATAGGCTGGAGTGAGCTGATATCACAGAGGCACGGCTCTTAACGGGCCAGCAAACCAAGGAGCCCTTCTTTAATGAGTTGTATGGGGGCGCAAATCATACACAATAATGGAAATCACACACACATTAGATTGTGTGTGTGATTTCTGGGATATTGTGTATGATCTGCGGATGTCAAGGAGCCGCATTCAACATGCGGGAGTTTCCCGGGACTGCCGGGAGACTTGGGATGTCTGGTATTAGGCAGTATGTGTGTGTATATGGATCTTTGTATAAGGCAGTGTGCGTGTATGGCAACATATGTGTATAGATGTATGTATTGTGCAATATGTGTGTAGAGATGGATGTATTAGGCAGTATGTGTGTATGGATGTATGTATTAGGCAGTATGTGTGTATGGATGTAGGTATTAGGCAGTATGTGTGTATAGATGCATGTATTGGGTAGTATGTGTGTATGGATGCAAGTATTACTCAGTGTGCATGTATGGATGGATGTATTGGGCAATATGTGTGTATAGATGTATGTCTGTATGGATGTATGTATTAGGCAGTGTGTGTGTATGGGTGTGTATATATTAGGCAATATGTGTGCAGGAGCAGAGCAAACAGAGAGGAGCAGAACAAGCAGAGAGGAGGCAGCGCAGGACAAACAGAGAGGAGCAGAGAAATCAGAGAGGAGCAAGAGCAGAACAAACAGAGAGGAGCAGAGCAAGTAGAGAGGAGCAGAGCAAGTAGAGAGGAGCGGAGCAGATCAAGCAGAGGAGAGTGGAGCAGAGCAAGCAGAGAGGAGCAGAGAGAAGCAGAGCAAGTTGAGAGTCTGGGTGAGACTCGTCTGGGTGGCGGCCACTTATCAGTTTCCTCCCTTGTATTCTCATCCCGGGGGTTGCTAATGTATTGGCTGTTCACCAGTTTTGTCTCCACTTACAAGCAATCCAGGATACTCTGCCTACCGCTTCCCATCTGGCTGCTCTGGCTCCTTCATTCCGACACATACTGAAGGGTTGAATGTTTATTATCTCACGTAGTAAATCTTACCCACCTGGCACTCGCGGTTCACACTTGAATTCATACTATAGGGTTTTTCATCTAATTCTTAGCCAATTTGCATATTTGCGACTCATTTGCTGCAGAGTGTTTATTGGAGTTTACTTCCTTTTGCCACCATAAGTTAAAAATGATCATTTAACACTATCAAACTCTACCTAAACATCACATGCCGATCCATTCACAACTACAGCAACCAATACAAGAATGACAGGATTACCCACTCCCTATTGGCTATTTTATACTTTACGTTCATATGCTTTTCACCAAGACTTGCCTTAAGTCACCTCACCACTCAGGCCACTCTTTCTACATAGGGACACCATCGCATACAATCCAACGCATATCATCAAGGCAATAGGACGCTGGAAATCATCCACTTATACTTTAGATATACCAGAACCGGTTAGGGATTTGTCAGGCATTTCGTGACTTATCCAAGTAATTAGAACATATTGAAACGCAATAAAAAAGATATTAAACAAAAAAAAAGTAATTAGAACAAATATATTTTTGTATGGTACCCTTCTTTTTGCCCTCTTTATTACAGGCCTACTGCATTGTGGGTTCCGGCACACCACAGCCGACCGGTGTTATAAACTAAGATGTTTATTACAAATTATGTGTTATCTAACCATTACGGCAATATTGCCCCAACCACAAATTTAAGGCTGGGCCTGTAGTCGTGGGAGGGGCTTGGGTCCCCTTTATAAGGGTATCCAATCCTCTCCCACATTACTGTTTTTGGTCTGGCGAGTTACCTCTCACACCACTCCCTTTATTCACATCTCCCTCTTTATTACAGGCCTACTGCTTGTCGGTTCCGGCACACCACAGCCTACTGGTGTTATTAACTAAGATGTTTATTACGGCAATATTGCCATGACCACAAATACCAGATACATATCCCAACCAATACAGAAAATATACGAAGCCTTTTGTAACATGAACATGTGATATATTCTATATAATTGCCAATTGTAGGCTGAAATAAATCTTGTATGGTATACTCATTTTTGCAAATAGTCATAAACTACAGAATGCACACTATACTCACTGCAAGTAAAAAAATGCAATTTATTAAGTACAAAAACAGTGCCAAATAGGAATAATACAAAAACAATTAAATAAAATGACAGTAACAGGGGCAAATATAATAGTAAATAGTACAATACCAACAATACCAGCAGAACTCCACATAGCCCTTGGGTAAAAACACAAGCCACAACAATCCCCAATGTTTTGGCAACCAACTGCTGCCTTTATCAAGGGTGTCCTATTGTTATAATAAAGTGCATCAAACAAAAGTGCAAAACATTAGTGTACACAATACATTTTGTAAAATGCATACAAATATATAAGAAAGTGCTAAGTGTCACACACTATAGACAAAAGTGCTTCAAACATATAGTGCATAAGATAAATTCAAAGTACTTAGAATTTACTTACATTTGTTCCATTCATATATGTAAGGGGGGGAAAAACAATGTTTTATATGTGTAATATTGTAAACAACAATAATTTATGTGATTTTACTATTTTAACGCTGCCACAACCAAGACAATTTATAAATGCGGTGTCTTGGTCCCCAAGTAAAATCAATAATAAAAACCCACCAAATATTACATAGAAGAATATCTATGTAATTGCAAAATAGTAATTAGTATCTTCAGCTAACGTGATTCTTAACCAAAGGCAGAACTTAATAAATTAATGTTTATTATGAGCAAAAAATAGTCACAGTGCATACAAAAATATATGATAAACAAATTATTTACACCAACAACAGATAAAATCAAAAAGGATAAAATAGCAGAAGTCCTAATTACTCACTTAGGTTTTCAAAGTAAAACTTCTGCCCAGGAGGTCTCTGGCAAGGAAGGATGATGGTGACTCACTCAAAATTAGATCTTGGCCCCAAGCAAGTACACACACACCCCTCCAAATCATTGGATATATGCCCTGTGGATTATCAAGTCTCGCCCAGGGGTGGAGTTAAGGCATACCTACAGAAAGAATAAGTGACCACCTTCTTTGTTCCAGACCAACATCAATCCAAATGGAAACATTTGGCTCTATCTTCTCTCATGTACCTGCCACAGAAATAATAATTGCATCTATGAATTTGTT